TATTTGAGGCAGATTTGTCCAAAAGCTGTGCATTTTTTGCACCAATGCATTTTTAAAGGATCAGCGTGTCATGTAATATTCCCATATAAACTTTAACATCCAATTAAAAAATATTTGTATAGTAAAATTTGCTATTGATAATATCTAAACAATATGTAGTAGTATAGTATATAGTGTCCAAATCAAAATGTAATAAAATGTATTTATGTGTGATTTATGTGTAAATTATGTGCAATGTCTTAGCCACTAGGGATTGTTACATAGGGCTATACAGGCATCTAGTGGCAACACTACGATTTTACAGATACTAAATTGTGCAAAATGTTTATCTCAACAGTCAATTTACAAATAATGTATTCAGATTTGTGGAACTCAATGCACTGAATCTCCACAAATTAGTGTCGTTACTATGACAACCAATTTGAATGTGACAAGCAACTGGTGTCTGAAAATAATTATATATATATATATATAGAAACGGCCCTGCCCCAGAGACAGATCCCCTGCGAAGACCTCATCACCTCGACGACCATCAGCACAAGACCTCGGGAACCAGACAAGTCCTCTGCACCTGTGTGCAGCCTGGAATTAAACCATGCCATGCTGGTTTTGTCTTGCCAGAGGAGAACTGGCCCCCCGACTGAGCCTGGTTTCTCCATTTCTTTCACCGATTTAGTTTTGGTTCCTTGCCACTCTCGCCTTTGGCTTGCTTAGTTGGAGACGCTTGACTGATTGCACAGACACTATTGGAAGAGAGCTGAACTGGATGATGACATCACTGAATCATCAATGAACTGACTTTAGCTGGAAAAATAACTCTTTGTTTTTGTCTTCTTGTATTATTGACTAACTATTTTCCTGTTTGACACTGTAAAGCTGCTTTGACCAGTGTCGGGGGTAACTCATTACAAGTAATGCGAGTTACGTAATCAGATTACTTTTTTCAAGTAACTAGTAAAGTAACGCATTACTTTTTTAATTTACAAGAAAATATTACTTTTTCAAAAAAGTAATGCCAGTTACTTTTTCCCATTTATTGACTGACAAGTCTCCTGTCCCCATATTGGGAGAAATCAGGAGTACAGAGGTGTTGTGTGCGCTGTGTGAGCATGATGTTACTGTAGTTCTAGACTAAATGTGAATGTGCATTAATTCATCCCATTTACAAAAAACAGATTTAGTATTCATCAAAATGAATTAAAACAGTGAAATGCAAACTCAGAATATGACGCAAACCTGCAATAATGAAATATGTTAAATAACACAAATGTATCTAATCCCATTTTATTAACCGACGTCTTTGCTGCTGACCTTTGATGATCCAGTTCAACCATACTAATAAGCAAAAATGACTTTAGATAAACTAACAATTGTGCTTTGTTTTTTTATTGCTGAAGAGTGTTTCTTCTCCTGCGTTTTACTGTACAGACGTGAATTTACTTTTGCTTCAGCCTGAGGTTTATTCATTACACTTTTTGGTGTGAAAGGGCTTTTATATTTGCTATAAATAGAACTTCTTATATTAAAAACAATCAAGCCCTGCTTATATTTAAAAAGTATCGCGAAAGTAACACAATAGTAATAGAACGCATTACTTTCCATAAAAAGTAACGTAATTAGTTACTTTTTTTTAGGGAGTAACGCAACATTGTAATGCATTACTTTTAAAAGTAACTTTCCCCAACACTGGCTTTGACACAATCAGCATTGTATAAAACGCAATACAAATAAAGGTGACTTGACTTGACTGAGCATCTTCAAGATCCACAGAGAAGACCAAGTGCGCCAGAAAAAAACCTGATCTTTGATGCAGATCGTAAGTATCCGAGGAGTTGACCATAGCAATAAAATGTATTTTTTCGCTAAATATATACGACATTTCAGTACATTTACTTTTTCACAGTCGAGGCACACGTCAGCTTTACAGTACAGAAGCTAAACATTTGAAGACGATGCAAAAGTCTTTCCAATAATCTTGTGAATCTCGGTTCCCAGTATTCTTTGATTTGATCACAATCCCAAAACACATGCATCACTGTGCCAATGTCTGTCCCGCACTGGAAACATAATTGAGAAAAATTGGGGATTTTTTTTATGAAGGCAGACTGGGGTTAAATAAATCCTGCGAGTAAACTTATAATTTTGTTCACGGGCCGAAATTGAAACACCTTTGGGGAAAACGCATGTACAAACAGATAACCACTCATCACTAAAATTTGATCCTAAGTCCTTTTCCCATATCACCCTCAAAGAGTCAAAAGTTGAAGGACCAACATTGGACAGCAATGCATAGAACATCCACATTGTTTAAGCTAATTGGGCGATAAGAAGAACAATTCGCTAGGTCTTTGTCTTTTTTCAGAAGCAGGCTAATAACCACCAATGACCAGGATTCAGGCATAGAATTTGAATCTAATACTGTATGCATTTTGAAAGCATAAATGGAATCATTTGCTGAAAATGCCCCATATTTTGCCCATTTTTGATATTTTACTATAAGTAACCGCACATAATAGTTGGAATGAGAATAAAATCTTATTGGCTTCAAACATTTCAGTATAGGTACATCTATTATTAGGAATGTGACTGTACAAACACACAAAACATAAAGATTAGAAGGATTTTTTTATATTTGTTGTGAAACTACAAAACATACTATTGTGCTGGTGATATATTTACAATTCTGGTTGACAGTACAGTGTCGATGATAAAATTCACAGCTTTCAGACGTCTCACAAGAAAAAGAAAGACAGCACACCCAAATCACAAAAGTGCAATAAATACAAGCTGTACTTCTCAAACCATCTCTATGACCAGATCAGGTTCTTTTTCCATTAATACAAGATAAAAATAAAAACAATATTAAATGCACTGGAGTTTATAAAAGTCCTACTGTGAACAATAAACAAATCATTCATGACTACCAGCATCAGATACTGACAGCATTTTTTTTTTTGTTTCCTTGTGATTATTTTGAGCAAGTATTACATGATTTATGCATGATTGGACCAAGCGTCCAAATAAAAAAAGGCAAATATTGTGTCCTTATGAACCACAGAATTGATAGTTGAAGAGCACCTAATCAATCAAGACAACTCTCTCCAACACATACTGTGAACGGTAGATACTGTACGACCAGTGAAAACATAAGACATTTTCTATTGTTCGAGTACTCTCAAAATGAGATAAACTGTAGTGCTTCCAGGTAAACGGTACAAATTTAAAGGGGACCTATTGTTTCGCTCACATTCAAATAACCGTAAATTCTTAAAAATTGTAAATCTGAAAAGCTCTGGTAAAATTTATTTTAAAAAAGTACCTTAATTAAAAATGCCAATGTGAGAAAAATGCACATCACACAGCAGCTTAACAAACTGAGCTGGGATGTAGTCTATGTTTGGCAGTGTACTGTCTTAACCGGGTCTAATCTACGAAAATAATACATTAAAGAAGAGAAATGAAAAAAAAAATGTTTGCACTCTCATAAACTAAGTTAAACCACCGAGTACAATGGCTTCAAAGTGAAATCTATATGATGCTTCTAGATATTTGGCTAAAAGCTTTGGGACAGCATTTCTGTTGGGTCTTAAGATTTTGTTTATAATGTGCAATCTCCATCTCCTAAACCAATTTTAGCCAAGATTACACTGGAGAAGAAATTAGGGTTTCATAACAAGAGTGCTAGTACAAGTTCAGTTCTGTCTATATGCCACTAGGAAGAGCAAGAGACTAGATCATATGCATTTGTGCACTGCAGATGAAGGAGGGCTTCTGGACCATCCTTTCCAGACTTCACACTATAGTTTCAGACATTGTGGTATCATTTTGGAGCATATCATAGCCCGGTTAGTCATAAGGGTACAACTATGCAACATAATGAGTGTAGAAATAACGCTACTACAATTCCAATTACATATTAGTTGATCTTATAGCTTGAAACTGAATGATGTCAGATATAAAACAATGGAAGGGTTATTATTTGACATTAGCTCTGTTCCAAATCGTAGTGAGCTGCCTACCCAGAAATAATTTTAAAGATACACTCCAGATGTGATGGCTATTAATTTTGTAACTTGAATGTGCAGGGCTTCCAGTGTTATTCGCTTCCAGTTATTTTTAGCTGTGCAAAGCTCATTACGCTGCTTTATACAGCAAACTGGTATTATTTACCATATTATTTTAATGTATTGTCAAATTTACAAACACTGATTGGTAGCGTAAATAGTTTTATCATTTACTGCACTTTGTTATTCTTTTAGTCATTTACCTATAGAAGCTGATGAATCAGAAGTCTCACACATTCACAGAAAACCTTTGCATTGCAAAATAAGGTAGATATATAAGGCAATCCTATGAACTGAATCATAAATAATTTTAAAAAAATGATCAATGTTGTTGAAAATGTATTATTTCAGCCCAATATTTGTGCATGTCATGTGTTTTTATGCTAATGGACCCTTTTCACATTTCCGGGGTTCTTGGAAGCCGAAGTTGTCACAGGTGGGGAAATTTCTACGGTGATAAATGGAAATAAATTTGCCATTTAATTAGAAACACACATGCAGCAGCATTACCTAGTTTTCTGTCATTTAATTCCAAGGTAATATAACACAAAGTATATGTTGTTAAAGACAGTGTTATAAATGTACATTAATTTAAAAAAAATTGCTACATTTACACTGTGAATAACAGTGGAAACGCATTATCACAATCTGTGACAAGGGTCCATTACAGTATAGCATCATTAGCAACTTCAAACTCTATTGGAGTCAATTGTTGATTCTAGACTTCTGAAGAGGACTATCTGAGCAATACATGCAGTTGCTGCCTATGTAGAGTCCTCCAAATAAGTCATTTAAGAGCTTCCATTTGACTTTATGATGCTGACAAGAAGGTAGCTGCCTACGTGGCCATTAGACAGCATTGCAGCTCAGTAGATTTAGGAACTGAGCTATATTTTCTAACAATAACCTAAGCTTAAGATAATGCATAGGATCAGTTCAGAAACAGTGTTTTGGATAGGTAGCAACAGATGCCCACCTAAAGGACTGGACCCCAGGAACCTCCTTAAGGCTCTGTCCACGAATCTTGTGCACATCCTTAGCTGCTGCTCGCATCATCTTCTCTACCCTCTGTTCCTGTAGCTGCTCTTCCTGGGTCTAAGGAGAAAGTGGCAACACAAATTCAGATGCTGTAGGTTGTTTAAGATGGCCCAAAAACACGCCATTTGTGGATTTGTTATTTCTGGAAATCTGCTGGGACTCACCTGTCTCTCTGTATGTTTGAGCAGCAGACGGAAGCGCTCGTCCTCCTGTACCCATGTGGGAAGGACATGCTGGCCCTGTTGCCGGGCGCTCTCTAACTGCTCCTTTAGCTCCCGCAACACACGCAGTTCCTCGTGCAGTCGGCTGTGCCGTGTGCGAGTGACCTGCAAGTCCAGCTCCAGATCCAGAGAGGTGCGCAGGAGCCCATCCAGACCTTTGACCTGCATCTGCGGCTGTGTGTGATAGAGAGAACAAAGGGGTGACATTCACTGACCACTGTATTGGTATTGTTATATTGGCACATATAAATTAAATGTATTCAGTATCATTCTTTTGTGTGTTCATTTAGCGAAAAAAAATATGTTGAAAACAAATAATCTGAAACTGCTTGGCAACAATAGCCATTTGATTAAATTGATGGCTTTTATAATTGAAAACCAAACCAAAACAAAACAAAAACCACAACAAAACAATTAATGAATCAATCACTAAAAAAACAACACAAAACACGGCACCAAAAAAAATGAAGAGTTTGTAGAGCTAGGTACAGTTTCTATATCATTTTACAAACATTTGCACTTCTGTTCAATTAACAAAATGGACATGAAAGGCTGTTAGCAAGCTATGTAGTCCACTAACCGGCCTAGTTAACTCATCATGCTTTAGTTTCATGCTTGCTTACATGCTTACTATTATTATTTTTATTTTTAAACTATATCATCCAAGCTATCACTAAAAAAAACAACACAAAACACGGCACCAAAAAAAATGAAGAGTTTGTAGAGCTAGGTACAGTTTCTATATCATTTTACAAACATTTGCACTTCTGTTCAATTAACAAAATGGACATGAAAGGCTGTTAGCAAGCTATGTAGTCCACTAACCAGCCTAGTTAACTCATCATGCTTTAGTTTCATGCTTGCTTACATGCTTACTATTATTATTTTTATTTTTAAACTATATCATCCAAGCTTAGTTAGTAGCCTACATCTTTAACCACTACACAATTTACCTCACCTTTGTAGACTAGGATATGTGATGTGTGTGATAGAGAGAACAAAGGGGTGACATTCACTGACCACTGTATTGGTATTGTTATATTGGCACATATAAATTAAATGTATTCAGTATCATTCTTTTGTGTGTTCATTTAGCGAAAAAAAATATGTTGAAAACAAATAATCTGAAACTGCTTGGCAACAATAGCCATTTGATTAAATTGATGGCTTTTATAATTGAAAACCAAACCAAAACAAAACAAAAACCACAACAAAACAATTAATGAATCAATCACTAAAAAAACAACACAAAACACGGCACCAAAAAAAATGAAGAGTTTGTAGAGCTAGGTACAGTTTCTATATCATTTTACAAACATTTGCACTTCTGTTCAATTAACAAAATGGACATGAAAGGCTGTTAGCAAGCTATGTAGTCCACTAACCGGCCTAGTTAACTCATCATGCTTTAGTTTCATGCTTGCTTACATGCTTACTATTATTATTTTTATTTTTAAACTATATCATCCAAGCTTAGTTAGTAGCCTACATCTTTAACCACTACACAATTTACCTCACCTTTGTAGACTAGGATATGTGATCTTCATTTTTAAAGAACTTAGGAGACTTTAAAGCCCGTATTATAAATCATTGAAGCTCTCTGTACAGTCCACATTAAGCAAATCCATTCAAACTTGCAACATCTTAGTGTCTTTAAAAGACTCAATGTAATGTGTCTCCTAAGGCACAGTGAGAGCAAACCTGACCTTTCTAGACTATTTAAGGGCCTGTAAAGGGGCTCAAGCAAACCCATTTCCTCACGCTGAGACCGTGCTTCATTAACACTGACCTCAGGTCAGTATAGAAATGACAGTATTAAATATTAAACTCCAGCTAAAAAGCTTAAACTCCCTTTTCTAATGAAAACGCTTGGCTTTAGTGTTTGTGAAAAGCATTCAGTTTCCTAAGAAAAACCCAGTGGATCCCTGAGTGGAATTTGATTCTAACCCTGATGTGCAGTTGAGATTAACTACACAGTTTTTATGCTTGGGGTCCCAGATATTTTCATATTGTATTTGAGCTCCCAAACATTTTTTTTTCATGGTGGATGGTTGAAGCGTGTTTATCGAGTTTAGAATGAGTTCTCATAAGATTAGCAGAAGCCAGAAAGCATTAAACTAAATGAGTAGATGTCAATATATAATATTTTTATGTTACCTTCTTCATTCGAACACTGCGTCTCTCTGAGGCGTTCCGGACGAAGGGAGATTTCTTAGACAGGGTGGAGCTGTCACTGTCGCTGCGGTTGATCTGGTAATTTGGTAAGTGTGGGCATTGGTAAAAAACTTACAGGAATAGTGAGCTCTAATACTAGAATCAATATGTACATATATTTGTGTGTGTAACAGTGTTCTTACCCTGCAAATATACTGGCTCTGAGGTCCAGGGGAAAATGTCTTGGACCGGATGATGGTGTTTCCTCGCATAAAAGGGTTTCGCTGATGGACATCATGGCGCCGCTCCTTGGGCCGAACTACAGAAGCAGAATGCAGGAGACCATCCACACTTGTCTCTTTATTCACCTAATAAGGCAAAGAGAGGATGTCAGCAAGTTTCATTGAAATAACTCCCATAAAAGCAATGAGAAAGTTCTATGTAAATGAATCATTAATGCCACCTTTTCCGTTATGACAGCTGTTGGTCCAGGTTTAACTGGCTCTTCCGCCTGTTCCCACTGGCAGTCTTCGGGGTAGAACTCCTCATCCTCTTCACCATCACTACCTTCTTCATCCACAAACACGTCACCATCCAAAGCCTCTGCGGTGCTATTATATACAAACATATACCATTTGACACCAGGGTTATTATTAGGGGTGGGAATCGCAGGGTACCTCACGATACGATACGAATCATGATACATGGCTCACGGTATGATAATATCACGATACAGCGATTCGGCGATAATCGATATATTGCTAGACAATCCTATAATGATACATCACGATATCTGTCTAACTATGAAAACTAAATGCCTGTGAAAAGGTTACATGCAAGTTCTCTCTCTTTATTCAAGTCCAAACTGTTAGAAAACAGCACAAAAGTTTTGTAAATCAAATTTAACATGCTAAGTAAATTAATCATTTTATTCTTGGACTTATTAAAAGCTTACTTTTCTTTGTGTGTAAACCAACACATTTAACTGCTTATCAACTTTATATATAGCCTATATATATATATATATAAACCTGGTACATTTCAAAATTTACCTGGAGTGTTTTCTCAACCTTTCCTCTCCTCTCATCATAAAAACGGAGCCCCGCACACATGACATGCAGGGAAAAAATAGCCATCCCCATCGCCTCTACTGCGCGGTCAGGTTCGTTATTTCAAATGTAGACGTGCGGCAAGCACACACACACTGCACACTTCTGCGCCGCATTACGGCACTGACGAGGTTTTGTTTCGTCGCCCATGCCATAGGTGCAGATTTATGTTTCTGCCAGTCGGTGCCCACTGCATAACGCGCACTTGCAATATCTGAGAGAGAGGGAGAGCATCCAGTTTTGTTGACATAAAACTGGACGCGCCGGCGGCACTCTCACACTTAAATCCACCTGCGACCCGAGTGGAGAGGACTCATGGACTGATTATGCGCTCTGCAGTAATAACGTGATCGGTGCCTATGGTCTACGCTGATAGCTGTTCCGTGGCAGTTTTTTAGTTCCATATTTTTATTTTCATAAACATATATATAACAGTAGAGCTAATACAGTGGCTGGAAATCTGTTTATCCTTCGGTTCCTCGTGCTTCCCCATCTTCATAGACAACGTGGTTCATGGTTGCTTAGAGCGGTTTGGAAAGAAGGTGGAAATGGCAGAACCGCGATTTCCACGCATTTTTAGATGCTGGGAGCAGGGAAATCTATATAGAGCGCCTTATTGTAATAATTAAAATATCGATATTTGGCACCAGATATCGATTCTCGTATCGCATGGAGAAGGACAACGATATATCGCCATATCGATATATTGTCCCACCCCTAGATATTATGGTTCAAAAATTTTCCCAGGCATGTTTTTTTATTTCAGTTTTGTTTCAGTCAGTTCTAACGGTAAATAAATAGTTTTGATTTTGGTTATTTTATTTTGGTTTCATTTTTATTATACGAAAATTCCTTCTTTTAGTTTTGCTTTCATTTAGTTTCAGTGTTACTTTAGTTTCCATCCATTTAAGTACGCACAAATTGTTTATTATTGTTTATTATGGATTTTATCCATATAGTTACGGTTAAGACCAAAAGTTAATTTTGTCCCAAGTAATGAAAGTAATTTCTCTGTTAATTAATTTAGCTTTCACATTAGTAAAACTTGTGGGGGCAAGGACAGTGTATCAATGTTGAAGCACCACTTATTCAGAGGTCACTTCCAAGCTAAGCACCTTATTATTGGTCAACACAGCACATTCAAAGTTTGAATAACAAACTTGAATCCACATGAAAAAATATTTTGCCTCATGCGAAACTCCAGATTGCACAGATGTCTATTTAGGTGACTGCATTTCGCCCATAGAATTCCAACACATGTAGTAGATGCAATTAAATTATTATTATTTGATTTGATTTAATTAATGAAGAACATTTTAGAGATTTTGGTAGTTTTCTTTAATGTAGTAATTTATTATAATAAATATATAAATAATAAACAGTAATAATTTGAAATTAATATTTTTAATAGTACCAATAATGTAAGTTAATTAACATTTTTGTTTGGCGTCATTCAAACCATCAGTACTAAAAGTCACAGTGCTCCAAATTAAACCGAAAGTTATTGCTGTGACATGGTTCAGTCAAACCATAATGTTCCTAAAAGATCAACACTTTAACTTTTCTAGTCTGCAACCTTTCAGAAGCAAGTGTGAGTGAGGGTGGAAATGTTCTCAAAAAAATGCAGTCATGCCACATTCCTGTCCTTGTTTTTAAGTTCTATGGCAGCTGGTTTTGGTTGAATCATCATTTGAAACAATCAGGTCTTGTAGTGCTGTTTTGGTTATAATCATGAGACTGCCCATCAGCCAATCAACAGGTGGCACGGTGAGCTAATTTACAGAGAAGCGACCTCAAAAGAGTCCAGAAAATGGCATGAGAGAAGAATGCCACTCAGTATTGCTCATGCACTGCACTTGGATTAGTTGTTCATCCTGTTTACATTACTAATGTAATTTTGGCGGAGCAGATCAAACATCAGGAAAAGTGAGTCATCGTGTGCCATCATGCTATGATGAATTCCCACGAGACAGTAGAAAGGTCATTCAATAGGAAAATAGGGGTTGGATAAGAAAGAGAAGGAATTTGAGATCCAAACAGCTTGTTAATTGTTTGTGTGGATGCTGGGTGGGATACTGCATGTGATATGAAACCCAGACTCACACTGACATATTGTTATGTTGACAGCTGTGCTAAATGGTATTAAAGCTTATTATACAAGTTGTGACAGGTAACATACCAGTCCTCCAGAGGAGCATTCTCCAGGTGTGCAACAGTACTCTCTGAGGTGCTGGGAGCTGGAGTCTAAAAATAAATAAAAAGAGACGAAGATCATGCATTTAAAAAAAACAAACAAAAAAACATTTGGTTTGGTCAGTCCCAACTCCGAGGTCTTGACCTTCTCCATTGCATCCAACAATTAAAAACTAAATATTTTATTTTGAGAAAGTAGGACACAAATCATGAGAGCCTCAGGCCTTATTTTGTACCTTATTCGTGGAAAGTGACAGTAAAATGCAGATATATTTCCTTAATCCATCTTAACAGAACAGGCTGTTTGTAAATTCGAAAGAGCTGATAAGAAGCAAAGCAACTAATTCTATGTAACTTGATCATCAAGAGTATTAGAGACCAGAGAGAACTGTTTGGGCAAGAAATAATCAATTTCTTCATCTGAATGATGAAAGAAATGAATATAATATTAATGAAGGCTCCTTGTTCCTCAATAAGCATAGCAATTTGGCAAGACCGATTCCAAGAATATCAAAAAGGCATTTGGCTGTGATGAGGTAAAATGAGTTGAGGATTGTGTGTGTGTTGGTTTTACCAGCTGCTGCTGAGCAGAGACCTCTGTTTCCTTGTGATTTCCATCCACTGGCATGTATGTGCAATTGAGGAGGTTGTACCACTTGGTGCACAACTCCTCTGAATACTCTTCATCAGCCAAACTGATCTGAGCACCAGCCTTTCAAGAGAAAAAAGACAAGAACTGAATAACCCAGGCCCATATTCACAAAACATTATATGACTTTATTTAGACATCATCACTGTTTGTTTTCTCGCATTAGAAACTCACTAGACAGTCCTCTCGACCAGACTTGCTGGTGGTACAGACATCAATGCGTAGAGTCTTCTGTCTGAGAGCAGCGGAGGACATCTGGAGGCTAAACGCTTCCTTAAACTCTAAGGGTTCCTGCGGCAGAGACCCGTGGGTGCGGAAGAGGCAGCGAACGGGCTCTGAGCATGGCAGTACCACCACACGGACATATCTGCAATAGATTAAATCCAATCAGAGATGGACTTTCGTATCAGAAATGAGCATCCACATGCCAAAACAGGACAAGAATTGGCCAGTCATTGATCAGTGGTTCTCAACTCAAGGGTTTTAACTCCAAAAAATGGTTGTGGGGAAAAAACAACCTTGGGTTTAGGAATCAAATGATTCAATAAAATGTCAACTCAAGGAGCTAAGATTCAATTCCAAAATGATTCTCAAGGCATCTCAATTGTTCAGCAAAAGTGCAGAGGCATTATAGTTGCAGAATCGCAATTATTACAAATAAAAGCCACAATAAAATGTCTGTTTGATATGTACACAGGAATTATTAAAGGGGTCATATGACGTTGGTAAAAAAGAACATTATTTTGTGTATTTGGTATAATGAAATGCGCTTATGCAGTTTAAGGTTCAAAAAACACATTATTTTCCACATACTGTGCATTATTGTCTCTCCTCTATGCCCCGCCTTTCTGAAACGCGTCGATTTTTACAAAGCTCATCATTCAGAAAAGGGAGCATTCTCCAGGCGTGCAACAGTACTCTCTGAGGTGCTGGGAGCTGGAGTCTAAAAATAAATAAAAAGAGACGAAGATCATGCATTTAAAAAAAACAAAAAAAAAAACATTTGGTTTGGTCAGTCCCAACTCCGAGGTCTTGACCTTCTCCATTGCATCCAACAATTAAAAACTAAATATTTTATTTTGAGAAAGTAAGACACAAATCATGAGAGCCTCAGGCCTTATTTTGTACCTTATTCGTGGAAAGTGACAGTAAAATGCAGATATATTTCCTTAATCCATCTTAACAGAACAGGCTGTTTGTAAATTCGAAAGAGCTGATAAGAAGCAAAGCAACTAATTCTATGTAACTTGATCATCAAGAGTATTAGAGACCAGAGAGAACTGTTAAAAAAACACATTATTTCCCACATACTGTGCATTATTGTCTCTCCTCTATGCCCCGCCTTTCTGAAACGCGTCGATTTTTACAAAGCTCATCATTCAGAAAAGCGAGGTGTGCTTTTCATTGGCCAGCTATCTAGTGCGTTGTGATTGGCCGAATGCCTGAATTGTCCCAGTGCGACAAGACAAAAACAATAAAAACCCATTATAAACGTAAACATAAAACTGTAAACATAAAAAATGTCTTAATTTGTGATCGAAGAAACGACAAACAACAAGCGCTACTCTACACTGCTCAAAACTCACGTTTGAATAGTCAGTGGCAAATTCTTTAAATATGAAAACGTACTTACAGGCTGTGAGTCAGAACAGACGGCATTGTAGGCTACTCTCCCAGGTTCAGGCAACAGTCCTCCGTAAAATGCGCTGCACACATTTAAATATTTAGTTTGAACTGTTCTGGAACAGTGTTGTAAATACAACTTAACTGCTGATTTCTAGTTGTGTCCTCTTTTGGAAGACCAACAAAGTATTTTCGCTTTCGCAACGAAACACACAGCGTCTCCACGACATGGCGGCAACAATACTACAGCGAGAATCAAACCGAATGCCTGAATTGTCCCGGTGCGACAAGACAAAAACAATAAAAACCCATTATAAACGTAAACATAAAACTGTAAACATAAAAAATGTCTTAATTTGTGATCGGAGAAACGACAAACAACAAGCGCTACTCTACACTGCTCAAAACTCACGTTTGAATAGTCAGTGGCAAATTCTTTAAATATGAAAACGTACTTACAGGCTGTGAGTCAGAACAGACGGCATTGTAGGCTACTCTCCCAGGTTCAGGCAACAGTCCTCCGTAAAATGCGCTGCACACATTTAAATATTTAGTTTGAACTGTTCTGGAACAGTGTTGTAAATACAACTTAACTGCTGATTTCTAGTTGTGTCCTCTTTTGGAAGACCAACAAAGTATTTTCGCTTTCGCAACGAAACACACAGCGTCTCCACGACATGGCGGCAACAATACTACAGCGAGAATCAAAGTTATGCCTTCTTTCTTTGCGTGAACATTTGGGTGGTGTTATGCAAATCTTCCCACACAGTGACGTAGACATGTGGGGGCGTGGACGAGTCTTAACTTTTATAAAGAATATCTCTTTGGGTTTGAGACTTTAGTCTTTGCAACTTTAGGGATCTTATCTATTCACAAACAGCTTGTAACACTCCAAAGAGAAAGGAAAACTTGAAATCGCATCATATGACCCCTTTTAACTCTCAGTCACATTTAATTATTTTTATGGACTGATCCAGAATCATCAGAAAAACAATCAGAAAAAATTGCAAAGTATCCGTGAATCGATTCCTCCCCTTTATATTACCATTTTACAACTATTGAAAGGGTTAATTCCATTTGTAAAACCCAGCACATTTCCCTAGAAGAGATGCTTCATCAAAATTACATCATGCTGATTAAAATTAATGTCTCCATCAGCTTTAAATGAAGCTAGAGGAGACAGCGCAATCCTCACATGTTCTGGTTGGCTGGCAGGGAGAGTGCGCTATAGTTGGAGAGCTGCATTACGAACACTGTGAACTTCTTTTCTTTCGCTTCATACTTCAGACCGAGTTTGATCTGAGAACTACTTGCTGAGCTCCCGTCATCATAACCCAGCTGTTGCTCAACAGGAAGCCCCGACCTGTGGGAATGAACAGCACCATTTTACTATCTGAATCAGGGTCTGTGATAAAACATCACTTTTAACAAAACTCTAGTGGCCTACCTCTTCTCTGAGGGCTCATATACCCCGCTATCGCCTGCTACTGATTCGTCAGACACGGCTGACGTTACTCCTGCCTTCTTCGATCCTGGCCCAGACATCCTTGTTTCTGTAACAGCATCTGCAGGCACAGAAAAGGGGGGGGGTTAGAAATTTAACACCACGTCACTCTGGATGGGTGTTAGGTTCCTGATCTCGAGCGAGTTCACCTACTGGGCTAGATGAGTGAGCAGTAAATCTACCCTATCATACTAGACATTCAGAGGCTTTCTCTAGTTTCAGATGGAATTTTGGATTGCGGATGACAAATAAAGTTACCACGATAAAGAAAAGGGAAAATCTTGCCAAGTTCTTAGACATGTTTTTTTGGTTTAATGTGATTTTATACTATTTTTAAAAAAAAAGTTAAAATGTAAATAATTTTTACAATTAATCTACTGATTATTTTCTTATTAGTCAAATAATCCTCTAGTTAGTTTACCAATTAAAAATAACAGTAACTTCTGCTATTAATCTTTCAGATTTTCATTCAAAACATTATTCAATAATCATATTCATCTCTTTTTACCCCAGTTTAGTCAAATCAAGATTATTTTTATGATTAATCTGTTGATTATTTTCTAATCAGTCGATTAATCCTTTAGTTAACTTAACTATAAACAATAAACTTTATCATGGCAAGAATTAAAAGGTATCTATCAGTAATACAAATGTCCATGACAGCTTAATGAGCTAAAATATGCAGCCGTTTTGTTCATGGAAAGAGTCATGTACCTTTCAAAGACTCTACTGCACCCTGTTGGTGGTCCTCTTCTAACCGTAGTTCCATTAGCCTGGTTTGCAGAACTAAATCCAACTGTGAGGCTGGACCGGAGAAGGCGTCTCCCGACAGGAAGGAAGCATCAGTAACAAGGGGTGAGCAAGGAGGAGAGAGGGAAGAAAGCGAGGAACGCGGGGACAGTGAGCTCATGGAGTGAGGTGTCTCTGACAGTCGCAGTACTTGGGTTCTCTGGCCCATCCCCGGCCCACTGCCAACTTGCCTGGAGGAGGACGAGACCTCGTTCTCATGGATGGTGGTGATGGAGCTGGAGGGCCTGTAGCCAGAGGTGCTTCCCTCCTGCAATATAGAGTCCAGTTTGTTCTGGAAGTCAGGGTCACCCAGTTCAGGCTGCTCCAGGTAGATGTCTGTGAAGCTGAGAGAGGAAGTGGAGCCCAAGCTGGAGGTGGCCAGGGATCCTCGGCTGGAAGTCAACGATCCACGGCTGCTGCCTGAGGAACATGATAGCGTGCTGGCTGACAGACTGGAGTTGATGGAAAGAGACAGCGGGAGGGACAGAAGGAGAGCAGGGAAGTTATTCAGAAAGCAGCTCGGGTTCATCTCATTCATATCATCTCACTCTCCCCTATTTCAAGTCTTAACATCAAATGAATTCTGCTTTAAAGCAAACATGCTAATTAAGGCATGGCAGGCTCATTAGACACACAAGGGACTGCTCCTCCATGCAAGATGCCTTTGATGTGCCTTAACTAGACGCTGAAGATGAATTAGGCATTAGTCAAAATAAATGGTAAATGCAAAACTATTGTTATTAAGTTACCAAGAGCGTTCGGTTGCATCGTTTTATAACTTCAGAAGTCTGATTCTTTGGATAAGTTTGAGCATTCCTATTGCAAAGTGATTACATCATATATTGTCATGAAAAGTTCTTACGACATGCAGCTTCCCCTTGCTGCTGATATTCAAAACTGCAAATTATGGGTTTTTTTTCTCTTTGAAGCCTTTTTAAGCCTTTGTGTGTGTGTGTGTGTGTGTGTGTGTGTGAATATTAAAAAAGGAGAATATTACAAATATCTTTATCATAATAAAAATTTATTTTTTGTTCCAAAGATCCAAAGATCTTATGGGTTTAAAATGACACGAGTGAGTAAATACGACATGCAGCTTCCCCTTGCTGCTGATATTCAAAACAAATTATTGGTTTGCAAATTATGGTTTTTTTTTCTCTTTGAAGCCTTTTTAAGCCTTTGTGTGTGTGTGTGTGTGTGTGTGTGTGTGTGTGAGTGTGTGAATATTAAAAAAGGAGAATATTACAAATATCTTTATCATAATAAAAATTTATTTTTTGTTCCAAAGATGAACAAGTCTTATGGGTTTAAAATGACACGAGTGAGTAAATTATTCTATAATATTATAAATATTACGTCATTATATATAGAAAACTATAATGTCTGATTTCACTTGTAGCATTTAAAATGACTGATTTTCCTTTTTTTAATGTTGCATTTTTATTTAGACAAAATATTACAAAATGTATTTTTTTTTTAATTAAATTTTAATAACAGCTGTTTCCTGTTTATTGACAATAGTGGCATTTATATGAATGTAATCACCAGTTTATCATATAGAATAATTAACACTGGTGCATCCCAATTAGACAACAGACAGAAAAAGTAAACATGTTGTCAATATTATGAGTGTCATTTGAATTGGACTATTTTATTTAAATGCCAGGGTTGGAGAATACCTTTTCAGCTGGGTGTGCAGGGAAGACGCCAACCTCACTGTCTCTTCGAGCTCCTTCACTAGTTTGTTTCTTCTATAATGCAGCTTTAACCTGAACAAAGCAACAGAGAGAACTTTGTGACAATTGTTTATTATTGGGGTTAGGAATTGGAACAGACCAACTTCTCTTTAAAGGGGTGGTTCATTGCGATTTCACTTTTTTAATGTTAGTTAGTGTGTAATGTTGCTGTTTGAGCATAAACAATATCTGCAAAGTTACGAAGCTGAAAGTTCAATGCAAACGGAGATATCGTCTTTTAAAATTCTGGCAGTTTAATGCCTACAAAAACGGCTGGTAGGGACTACAACAAGTTACTTCTCGGGTTTGTGACATCACAAACCCAGATAAACCCCGCCCTCAGGAAAATCCAGCAAAGGGGGTGAGGCCATGCTGCGCTGCTTAGAGAAGAGGAAGAGAAAACTGAAGGTGCACGTAAAAATCTGTTCATATATGAATCGAGATTCTGTCTTCTAACGATTCTAATGGATTCACAGGTTTCAAAATCAATGTTCAAAAGCAGCGGTTCTCAATACTGTTCCTCGCGTTCCCCTGCTCCGCACACGCTCTGCATTTCTCTCTCTCTCTCTCATTCAGCTCCACAATGAACTGTTCCAATTATAAACTTATTTTCACATAGCTATGAGAAGCATTAAACATGGTTAAGCATGCGGTTGCTGTACTGTATTAAAGCTTTAATCAGGATAAAACCGTATATTAAAAGCTAACATAAGCAGTAGCATTTACAAATAACAGCATATCTAAAAGTATGAGACAACAACAAACAAAAAACATAGGCCTACCATTAAAAGCCGTCTTTTTTTTTTTTTAAACGAAGCATTAGCACATGTTAGACTGCACCCCATAAACACAATCAAGCCTAGAAAACCCCCAGTTAACCACCCCTTTAACAAGAGAAGTGGACACTTGCTTTTCAAAAAGTTCAGTTTTCACATGGACAATGATTAAAAAAAAATTGTGAAATGGGGTATATGTCGAACGCACTGTTGCCAACTCTCGTAAGATAAATAAGCAACCGCAGCTTCAAAAACAAGCCCAATATTTTTTTGATGATTTATTATCATCAATATTTATTATCAATTATTTATTACTAATAAATGAGCCTGCAACATATTAAACTGAAACCACTCTTTTATCTGAAAAGCAAAAACAGAATTTATTTTACAAAAATCAGCAAACTGCAACAAAGGGGGAACAAAGCTCATCTCCAATCATCTGTGAGCAGAATAGAATTGGAGAGATGGAAAAGGAGAAAAACACAAGAGCTTCAAAGGGAAGCTGTAACATAGCCACCTATTTATAGCCTACTAAAATATAGGCTATTCGAACCAAATGTATTTACTCTTAGTATTAGTATAGGACAACTTGTTTTTTTATTACAGTCCGTGATAATTAATACATTACAAAAACATTGCAAAAATAAAAAAATTTGGCTAAAAGAAAGTCATCCCACCCCTCTACGTCTACTTCTATCATCGCTTGAATTACAGCGTCACTCGCCTTCTTTTTGAACATGATTTTTTTCCAATGAGGGGGAGGAGGGTGCGGAACATTTGGCAAATTATGCTGCAGCACTTTTATATTATTGAACTGGTTGGCTATTAACTGTGAGCAGACAGAGTATCAATCAATGCATTGGAGGATACGGCGACCATAAAGAAACAAAGTTGCTTGTCAGATTTCCCTAATAAGCAACCATATTTTTTAAAATAAGCCCCAAAAAAAACGCAACATGGGATTTTTTTCATGCAACTTTACAAAAAAAGAAGCCCAAAGTACACGGACTTGGCAACTCTGGTCGAACGTCACTGGACTAAACCTGGAAAACAGGTCACATCACATCCGCTTGTCGGAGAAAGTGTTAACAGCCATATGAACTAATGGCGATAACTAAGGAATTTTAAGGTAATCAGCTAACCTAGCTAGTTGTTTTTATTGTTGCCATTTTATTCAATTTTAATATCTAAATGTTAGTGAAAAGAAAAAAAAAAAAAAAACTTTTGGATATCAGTCTGCATATGTAATGGACATTGGTTATGACAATCTTTGGTATCTCCTTTGAAGGCATCTTGAGTAAAAACAGCTCCATATTTAACAATGCACATACAAAACTCTTGAACCGGAAGCGATGAGACCTGTTTTACAGAATACGGAAGTCTGTTGCGCATAACCCCCATTGAAGAGACATTATGATGGGCTCTTTTGGCCATTAACATCTTTTTTTATATTAAATAAAATTATATTATAAATACATTTATTCATACAATAAGTAAATAATAAACAATCACCTCACTTCAACAAATCTTGCACAATTCCTGTATGACAAAATGGAATTAATTTGAACTCCATTTACTTCTTTAATCAACCTATAGTCTTCCTGTAGGTCAAATAAAATGATGTTGGTTTATTATTAAACGGCAGCAATGAAGAAGGCGCCCATTGTGTTCAACCTAGATCCAGCGTTTTATGCAGCTCAGGTTACAGGAAGAGCGCAGAACGCCAAGCTAAATGAGGATACAGTAACTAGAGTAGAGAACAAGGAACCTGTTCAAATAACTGAGAGGGAACGAGTGAGAAAAAGACCAACAGAAAGAGAGAGAGAATGAAAGATAGTGAGTCAACCAAAAAAAAAAGTCTAATTGGTTCTCTCACCTAGGCAACCTGATCTCAAAACACAGATACCTCTTCTAAGAGTTCAAGACTCGCTACAAACCACAAGCAGTAAACTAGTAGACTTTTATGAATCATTTGCATACATGATGTTCAACTGCAGCCATTTTAGCTGTAGATTTACAAAACCAAATTGCGCAGTTAAAATGGATGGGGCCTGCAGTAAAGTAAATGAGGGACAAAGTGACTGCTGTGCTGCTCGTTTTGCATAATGCAAAATATCTTTGGCAAACAAAGTTTTTAGTGAATATTTTTTTAAGTTCTGAAAGAGGCTTTCAAAATTGGATTTGATTAATTCTTGTTTAGTAGATTTTCCTTGACACCAATGTGTTGAAAGCACAGCTGTAATGTCCCAGATAAGAGCCCTGTTGTGTTTCCACGATAATGACGCCTTTATTGTTCACATTATAATGGATCTCTGCACGTCAGTGTTTTGACATTCCATGCTCCCAGTAGGAGTTTCTTTTTTAAATTCTGTTTTCTTCAATCTGTTCTTCACCCAAGTGCTGCTACATGCTGTGAGAGACCTGAACCTGTGCGTGTACATCAGGTACCGTCTCGAAGGCTCACTGTTCGACCTTCGCCGCCTGGCCGCCAAAACAAAGACACTGGAGAGGCTCTTCACAGAAGCTCTCTTTGCAGACGACTGTGCTTTCATGGCGCATCAAGAGAATCATCTACAGACCATCGTAGACAGATTCTCCGTAGCAACAAAGCTGTTTGGCTTAACTATCAGCCTCAGTAAGACAGAAGTTCTACACCAGCCTGCACCAGAAAGAGCAGCAGACCAGCCATGCATCACCATCGATGGCACCCAGCTCTCAAATGTTACCACCTTCAAGTACCTGGGCAGCACAATCTCCAGCGACGGATCCCTGGACCAGGAGATCAATACCAGAGTCCAAAAGGCCAGTCAAGTTCTACAACGTAAGAACTCAAGTTCTAAGCGCTCCAAAGTTCTACAACACAGCGGCATTCGCCTCTCCACAAAGCTTAAAGTATACAGAGCAGTGGTCCTCACCTCACTTCTGTATGGCTGCGAAACATGGACGCTCTACTGGAGACATATCAAACAGCTGGAGCGGTTCCACCATCGCTCAATTATGAAGATCCGCTGGCAGGACAAAGTCACCAACCAAGATGTCTTGGACAGAGCTGGTTCAACAAGCATTGAATCCATGATTCTGAAAATGCAGCTCCGATGGTCTGGCCACGTCATCCGCATGGACCCGCAGAGGATGCCAAAGCAGGTGTTCTTTGGAGAGTTGGCAACAGGGTCCAGACACCAAGAGCGCCCAAAGAAAAGATTCAAAGATAACCTCAAGTCACATCTAAAATGGGCCAACCTGAACCCAAAGCAGCTGGAGCTTGCCGCCTGACAGAGCCAGTTGGCACGCCCAAATTAACAAAGCAGCCACCACATTTGAAGAGGATCGTCATCATCATATTGCAGCTGCAAGAGAATGCAGACACAGAGCTGCCGCTGCCCCTGCTCCAACTACTGGTGAACCTTGCCCCCTCTGCAACCGCCTCTGTGCTTCTGCCTTTGGGCTTTGAAGCCACATGAGGATCCACAGATGACTGCACAAAGCCTTGATCGTCATTCTAGACCCCCGAGAGACTACCTGACTGAGAATGGATCTCTAAGCTTCAGGTAAACTGCTCTAACATGCTGTCAGGGAAAGGGAAAAACACTGGGTCAGACATTTATTTGTGCAGTATATTAAGTGGATGGTGTAGCCTGGTAAAGATCAAAAGTTCAAAACTAAAAGACTGCAGTATCAAATTCTGCCACAGACGATCCTTGTTCCCACACCTTCTGGCTAATAAATTTACAAGAATTTCCCATGACTTTTACAGTAATCAATAATTTGCAATGGCTGGATAAGGATTTTATTTATTTGTTTGTTTGTTTATTTATTTATTCATAGCTGAAGAAATACTTTAAAACAGAGAATAAATGGGAAAAAAATGCAGGCCTGCAAGAACGTCCCATTCCGATTCTTTGGTTCCTTCACATGACTGGGAAAAAAAACAATTACTACAAGAACCAAATACAGTGAACTCTGCTGGTCCAGTTATTCATCTTACCTCTCGGTCAGTGCTTTGCTCTGATTGTCCCGTGCAGCTTGCAGGTCCTTCTCGAGTCGCTTCTTTTCAGACTCGATCTTCTCTGCCTCGCTGGGTGCGCGCTTGCACGCCGTTACATACTGTAGTTCCTTTAGCAGCTCTTCCTTCTCATTGATGAGGATCAGGCGATCTCTCTCCGGGTCCAGAAGGCCTGGCCACGCCTCGCTATCCAGCTTGGCAATCTGGACCTCAATATTTGCAATCCTGATGGCAGCAAAATGAATAAAGCAATGTAAAAAAAAAGTTAAGCATTCAACTATTGTCATAGACAAACATAGCAATGGGTTGATTTCAAAATCAATTTACAGCCTATTCAGCTTTATATGTGTGCGTGTATATACATGTGTGCGCGCGCGTGTGTGTGTGTGTGTGTGTGTGTGTACAGGTCAAAAGTTTGGAATAATTAATATTTTGTCAATGTTTCTGAATTAAGTCTCTTATGCTCACCGATGCTGCATTATTTAATTTAATATACAGTAAAACAGTAGTTTTCTATTTAATATAATTTAAAATATAATTTATCCCTGTGATGGCAAAGCTGAATTTTCAGCAGCCATTACTCCAGTCTTTACGGTCACATGATCCTTCCAGGGTTTCTACAGACATGAACAAGTTAAATTTAAGACTTTTTAAGACCTTTTTAATACCACCTTATATGAAATTGAAGACCTAAACCAGTAATGGAAATTCTTAATAGGAAGCATGAAGTGCTCTAAAATTTCCTGGTAGATGGCTGCGTTGACTGTGGACTTCAGAAAACACAGTGGACCAAAGTCCTCTTTTCAGATGAAAGTAAATTTTGCATTTCATTTGGAAATCAAGGTCCCAGAGTCTGGAGGAAGAGTTGAGAGGCACAGAAACCATGTTGCTTGAAGTCCAGTGTGAAGTTTCCACAGTCAGTGATGATTTGGGCTACCATGTCATCTGCTGGTGTTGGTCCACTGTGTTTTCTGAAGTCCACAGTCAACACAGCCATCTACTAGGAAATTTTAGAGCACTTCATGCTTCCTTCTGCTGACAAGCTTTAAGGAGATGCTGATTTCATTTTCCAGCAGGACTTGGCACCTGCCCACACTGCCAAAAGCACCAAAAGCTGGTTCAATGATCATGGTTTTACTGTGCTTGATTGGCCTGCAAACTCGCCTGACCTGAACCCCATAGAGAATATATGGGGTATTGTCAAGAGGAAGATGAGAGACACCAGACCCAACAATGCAGATGACCTGAAGGCCGCTATCAAAGCAACCTGGGCTTCCATTACACCT